CTTGAAATAAGTATTACCAAATTTATATTCTTCGACCTCTTGGAAGAAAGACCTCAAGTATAATTCTTTCCATACTTCATTACCCACATCCTCTAGCTCCAAATTTCCTTTTGATAAAAGAAAACCATGTGCCATCCAGAGAGTGATGAGATATTCCTTTTCTATTTTGGTGTCCTTTGGGAATACCGCACAATATGCAAAACATTGTCTCAAATCAAGTGGAAGGTGATGATAACTCAGCCTCAGCGAAGGCAAAACAGAATTTTCATCTTGTGGTAAATTCCAAATCTCACTATCTTTCACATGTTCCCATTCACTTTCTTCTCTCTTGAAGCATAAAAGACCTCCAAGAGTCTTGGCTGCTAGTGGCACACCCCCACATTTCTTCACAATCTTTTTTCCAATCCCCACAAGGTCAGGATTTGTTTCCGTTTGGTGGCCAAATGCACGTTGCTTGAACAACAACCAACAATCTTCTGGAGACAAAATTGATAACTGATATGGTTGCCAAGTTCCCATAATTGATCCAACCCTTTCAAGACGAGTAGTGGCTAGAATAGAAGAACCTTGTGCTCCAACATTTAAGACTGCTTTTATCTTAGCCCACTTTTCTTGATCTTCATTCCAAACATCATCTAAAACGAGAAAGTATCTTTTTCCATTCAACAACTCCTGAAGCTTCTTCTGGAGGGGAGCCAAGTCCATGTCACCAAGTGGCCTTCTTTCAATAGATTCTACAATTGCCTTTATCAACCTCTTCTCATCAAAATCATCTGATACACAAACCCATATCTTTAGATTGAAATGTGCGGTCATGCTCTGATCATTGAAGATCATTTGGGCAAGTGTCGTCTTTCCTAGTCCCCCCATACCAAGTATTGGGAGCACTAATAGTTCTTGGGGATTACTAACACTGTTTATCAAGATTTTCACCATCTCATCCTTCTCTTTGTCCCTTCCATAAACTTTTGGCTCTGCTAAAACAAAACCTGTTCACAAGCAATGCAAACACAAATTTTATTAAATTCAAGCTCACTAAAAAGTGTCAGCAGGAATAATAGAAGATTTTTGCAAAACAAAAAGACACAAGGGCGGGCTGACATGGAACAAACATGTATAGAATCTGGTAACTACAAAAAGTTGAAAATAAAACTAAGCAATTAGTAAGTACTTGGCTAAACACTGTTTAAGATGATCACCTGTTTCACGTTTAGCAGCTTGTTTCTCAACAATCTTTTCACGCAAATGAAACTTCCTTCTTTCGTCAGCAATTGCATCTAGTTTCTCCATCATTCTTTTCATTCTTTTTCCGAGCTTGTAACGAAAAATGATGATCTTTGGATGAATACACCCTAATAAGGACTGCTTGAATCTTGCTGCCTCATTTTTACATTCATCCAAGATGTCATCAACTTCATATGCAGCAAAATTGAGTTTCTGCAACCAATTCTCTATCGCCTTGTCCTTCAGTTGCTTCTCGGAAGCATCTTCAAGCACAAGTTGGATTGTAGAAAATGTGCTTGAAAGCTTTTTGAAGTCGTTTTCTAAACCGAAAAGCAATACAAGTTCCCCTTGGATGAAAGAAGTGATATTGCCTAGCAGAACTTGAAGGAAAGCTTCAGCCATATGTTGGAATTCACTGTAACACAAGTTAATTGAAACAGATTAAAGTGACTGAGTTATTCACGATCATGTGTGTGAATTTACAATAATTGATCAGTTTGTGAACTCGACTATTCAAAGTAAACAGCATATGTCATGACTTTCATTGCCACTACCAAGACTTTTCTTTCCACAGAACCAAATAACAAGGCATTCAGCATTCTAGTCAATATCACTACTTGTTGACTTGGTGCTTCCTTTCCCATTCATTTGAGTATATGCTTTTGAAAAATGATGAGATAATATCTCAACTTGTAAAAGCTCTATAGATCCTTGAAAAACTTATTATTAAAGAAAAAAGGGAAAAATGTCTGAAATGTATCCAAACTTTGACCGAAATTGCCGTAACAATCCCAAACTTTGGGTCGGACCTATTATTTCTGCACTATTTAATAGTGTATTTTAAAGAGATATATGTGTCCATGTGGACAAGTTACTATTTATAATGATGCAATATTTATAATGTCCACGTGGACACTTATATATCTTTAAAATAAACTATTAAATAGTGCAGGGGTAATAGGTCCTGCCCAAAGTTTGGGATTGTTACAACAATTTCGGTCAAAGTTCAGATATATTTTGAGAACCTTTCTTCCTTCCCACAGCAAAGCGCTCTAGAGTCTTAAGGCATGCCAAAGATCCTATCCTTAGTGGCATACAAGTCAATCCATAACAACTATCAAGTAAAAGATTTCGGAGACTACCAAGTTTTGTGGTTTGATTTGGCAAACAACCAACTGAGGAGCAATATTAATTGTAGATCAAGAGTCTGCAGATTTTGAAGCTTGCATAACTGTTTTGGAAGACTACGATGGAATTCGATCTATGCTCCAACTTTATTCCACTCTGAAAGAAATCTAACAGGGAGAAAACATGCATACTCATTTTTTTCTTTGTTAGACAAAATTTACACTCAGTTGTTTAATTTGATAAACATGCCTGTTAGGTTAATTGTTTGTTATTGGATTAAGGATCCAAGTGCAGTAAATGGAGATTCAGAACAGAAGAGAATCTCTTTTCTTTGTGCTGCTTCGTTAACAAAAGCAAAACGGAGATATATTTAAACTATTTCTAATAGAACATAACTATATCTGACCCTTCTCCAAATTTGATAATTGCCAAAAAAATGAATATAATTTAAGTTGTTGTGATACTATTTTAAGATGATTACCTGTTTCCCGTCTAAGAAATGTCTCTCTATAATCTTTTCTTGCAAATGAAAATTAAAGTAACTAAGCTATAGTTTGTAACTGTAATATACTTATTAAAAAAACTGTTAATTCACCTTCTTAAACAAAAGATATTGAACTATGAGAATTTATCTAGCAAATTCATTAAACTTTATTTTGTATCAATAAAATCACTAAAACCTTTTACCTTTAACAATCACCCAACTACATTTATTATTAGAGTAAAATTGACATGACAAAATAAAATATTTTTTATGTCATATAAACACGCACACACAAATAAACAATTTTTTAAAAAAAAACATTATGCATCTCCTTTCTTTATTTCCAAATTTTTTTACCGAATTATATATATATATAGCTAGATAAAAAAGAAGTGATGTGGCACCTCTCAATGGCCAAGGATTCTATTTATCTTTTTGTGGTTTTTTTTTTGATAATTTTCTAATTCTTTTCAATTATTTTATTTTATAACATCATGTTCTTAATTTATACCTCTTCAATTACATAAATTTAAATATTAATTAATTTAGTAATGTCTATAACTCCTAACCTATCATATTCATAACCTTCAAATAATTGTTTAATACTCAAATTTATAACTCCTTAAAATGACACTTATAAAAACCTATTTGAAACATGTGTAATAATTACCACAATAATATTGTAATAATAGGAATAATTGTATTAGTGTTGTAAAAAATTATTCAACTCTTGGTCTTTTTCTACATATTCAACGTTGCATACACATATTCTTTTTTTAAAATTATTTCTTTGTCACTATTTGATAATCTCTATTCAATTAAATTATGTGTTTAATTTTATTTTATTTTTATTGTAAAGTAAAATCTCAACGACAGTGTTCCACTATAGCAATTCAATTCTCTCTTCTCACAATGCATACTATAAGAATGAAAGTTTAAATATAACTTTTTAATATTAATGGATTTATGCGACACAAATGTGTAGTAAATGAATGTCAGTACGAGCATCGAATATTGAAAAAAAATTCTCTAACTTTTGAATTTCGTGTACAAATGTTCGAATATAATTCAGGTATTTTTTTCTCACCATTATTTAGTAAAAATATATTTTGATTTGTTTATTTTTATTATAGAGTCATTTATATATATAAAAAAAAAAGACACATAATTTACGAGAGTTAGAATTGTTGGTTGAACTAGTAATATTTTTATAACAATCATTGAATTTAGTATGACACTATGATAATTAGATTGTTACTTAACCGAAGCTCTTCATATCAATTTATATGTTTTCGTCTCTTTTATCAACAATTTTAAATTGAAAATGCAACATGAGATTTTTTTTTAGCAAGTTTTCTGAATAGATAATATCAGAATCATAACTTAATTTGTATTTCTCTCTTTTATTGTATAATTTATTAATTTATTTAAAAATATATTTAATAACTTTTTATACCCACACAAAGCACGGGCAAGTACATGCACTAGTTAGATATATATCAATAAAGATGTTGAGGTAGTTGGTGATACTTCACGAAGAAAAGTTGCGCACCTAATAATTTAAATATGAAATGTTTCTAATTTTTTATTAATAAAAGATTTAACTTGGTAATTGGTATGCATACTATCCAGTTTCACATCTGTCTTTTCTTGTGGGGTTGATTTGTCTTCATCTCTGTCAGAGGAGAGCTTAAAAACACACACATTTCCTCTCAACACGGACAGAAGAACTTCATTTTATTTTTTCGGACATGATTCTTTATATACTAGTTTCTGGGTACGCGCTAAGCGCGTGTATCCCATATTACTTGTATATATTTTTAAAAACACTTGAATAAAATCAAAATATCCACACTATCCAATTTTTACAAAATGCCATATATATAACTTGAGAAAAAACTTGAAATTCCGACTTAAGCCATGATACACAAATCACTTTTATCTCAAAATTTAATTTATGGCTGGTTATTTGTGCAAACAATAAAAACTTGAAGTTCTATAATAAACTGTCATAATCATCTCCAACATGTTGATAAATCACAACATAAGTAATGTAATATAAATATCATATTGACGTTATTAAACTATGAGAAGATACAGTTAGCTAAAAGACTAGTTCTGAATCTAACATGAAAAATTTCAAATATTTATTGTTAACAGACCCAAGAAAAATAAATTATAATACAAATAGATCTTACAAATAGTTGATTTGTTTCCAAAAGAAAAACCAGAAAATTACATCCAATTAGGAATAAGACTGTAGACACACAAATTTTATTGGATTTAATTCATACAAAATTTGGATTAAATCCATGTTTATTTGGGTTGAATGATTAATTTGGGCTTTACAAATAAATAAGTCCATTTTTATTAAATTCAAATTCAAGGTCCATTTCACCTTGAAGCCCAAACACATGCCACGTGTTACAATGACTAGGCATCCAAGTCCAACAAGGTGACGCCACATGTCCAAATGAGGTGGTAGTCCCAGTCAAATGCAAAAACGAATCACAATGCGCCAAGTGTCAAAATGATATCCTTTGGCCAATCACAAGCAACCTTGTCCACCCCTTACAACTATAAATAGGGGATAGACATGACATTCAAAGGTATCAAGAAAACTCTTCAACAAGCATTCTGCAATTTTAGGAAGCTACACCATCAACAACATAGCTCTTCGAAGGAGTCATCAACAGAGTTCTTCCCGGAGATCGACTTGAAACGACGAAGCGCTTTCCGACGTTTCCTGGAGATCGACAACATCTCAAGGAGGTCTACATCATCCAATATTTCAAGAAATACGCTACTGAAGGCCCTCGAATCTTGGAGAATCTTAGGAGAGAGAATCAAGAGAACAACAGAATTGTACTCACAACGATTCATTAATATAAAAATATTTTTTTTTATTTTTTTAATTTTGCTTGCAGTTGATTTTCAGCGCTTACAAAAATTTGTTGCGAACAAATTTGGCACGCCTAGTAGGACCGATTCTACTCTTCATCTCTTTCTCTTGCAAATCAGAAACTACAAAGGCAACTACTGCAATGGTCTTTAGAAAGAGTAGTGATTTTTCATACAAGGACTCTACTGATGTCGTATCTGCTGATCTCAGTCATGTTGGCCCAATTACTCGGCGTAAGTTAAAGAACAGTGGGCTAGATGGATCTGAATAGTTCACTTCTTTGGAGGCGATGAAAAATAACAACTCTCATACGATGGTCGTAAGTGCAACACCTAGGGGCAATCTTGCGTCTGTGTTCTTTGGAGAATTTTCTCAAATTGGCTCCAACTTTGGTGAATCTGAAGATTCAATGGATTATCCAACTTCAATGAATGTCAATGCTTTGATGGCTGACTCAACTGACATGGACGAGAAGTTTGAGATGATAGAGCAGACCATTGAAGCCTTGAAGAAATCCATTGATGACAAAAATCTTCATATTGCTCAACTTATGAA